TTGCTTCGAATGAGATACATCCGAAATAAAACACGAAATTAGACGCAATGAAGAAACAGTAATTAGAAACGTCTGACCTGGATGTTCAAAATATTTGCATATAATGACTGATTTATAACATCGAATGGGGAAATTTAACAGTTTGCATTTTTACAGTCATTGACTCGATAAAATCTATCCAACATTTCACCCTTCAAGTGATAATGGAATTCAGACGAACAAATAATTCTGGATGTTTTAAAATCTGAAAATGAGTTATAAAATAACTTTCGCGCAAGCACCCTTAATAATTCGGTCATTGAAAAACAATTTGCAAATTAAGAGTCAATAACTTTTAAAATATAATATATAAATAAAATTGAATTTTACGCAATAAAATCGTATAATTCACAAGCAATCTTACAAAAGTTGCTTGGGTATAAGTTGCCGAAACATGATTTTCAAAAATCAGTCAATCAATTGCAATATAAATATCTAATTAAATTTGAAAATATATCCTTGATATTTTAATAACTGTCTTAAATATAGTCTTAAATTAAATCTCTTAAATATTTTCACTTAGCTGAGATATAAATAGGAGAGGATTCACAAATCATGAGTAGGTATATAGCACAATACTGATAGGCTCCGGTTCTGTAAGTCATGTTTGCTTTCATATTTTTTCCTTTTGTGTTTGCTTTTCTTGGTATCGCAAGTGATCCCAGCTGAGTGTGAAAGAGGCCACCATAAAAAAGATCATTCTAGTTGAAGAGCTCATTTCAAAGAAAATCCATGCCGGCTTTTCTAAATGATGCAAACCTTGTCTTTAGTCGATTTATCGCAAAACCAATTTATTTGCTAATTCGTCAATAAAAAGTACATCTAAAGCGTCTGAACGTGTTTATCAAATACGTCAAATGGTGCACGTTTTGATAGTTTGTGCTTTAAAACTTAGCTATGGAATGTTCTCACATTTTGGATAATTTCATGAACATCTTTAACAATCTCGCAATTTTCTCCTTTTGCCTAACATACAATTGCTTCCGAACCATGCTAAACTCAGAAGTGAGTGCATTGCCAAGTGCACTCTGTACGTGCAGCTGTATCGTTATTCCCTATTAATCCACAAAGTCGGTTGCCTGCCCTAAATATGCAAATGCCATTCAAATTTTCGATAATTTCCACTGCATGGAGCGTCGCATTTTCCGCAAGCGATGGTGCATGAGAAATTTTCCTCGTGGAACTTTGTTGTTTTTCCAGTGTTCGGGCTGTTTATATTCGCGTGCATTTGCCAGGTACTCGAACTCTTTGGATTGATTTATGAACTGGCGCAGTCCTCTCTTTTCCTTGTTCAAGTATGGAAGTGGTGGAAATGCAGATTTTCCGGAACACTCTTTTAACGGTTCCGAATGCACTTTATGAAGGGAAATGTCCCGTTAGCTGACAGCAGATACTTTAGCCGGAACGGAACACTTAAATACGTTGCGGAAATGAAACTTCCAACGGATCAAACGGTTTGTGTGACCCGATCCAGAATATAATGTAATTTTTCTTTGTATTTGTACAAGGAGTTATCGATTGTATTTTTGTCATAAAACCAGATAAGGTTACTAAAACTAAAACATTTCAAGAAAAAAATTGAATGCCGGTCTAAAACAAATGTATAAGAAAACTCGATATTGGTGCATGAACATCCAATTCACGATGGAGAAAGCATCCATCGAAAAGAAAATTTTCAAGGAAATCTATTTTTAACACGAATGTTAGTAAACTTGAACTCTAAAGCGGTTTGCATATCTGCGGTCGCCAGTTGCCAAAAATTGTTTTTGTGGTGCAGACGTGTTATTGGTTTCGTAAAATGAAGCGGATTAGCAGGAAAATAGGTCAGAACTTGTATTACATTAAGCCATTTTAAAATAGAATGTCGGATCAAAATGCCTGGATAAAGCGAACAGTTTATCTAAGCACTATTCCAAACCTGTGCACTTTAACTGGTTTAGAGTAGCAACCGATTCCGACACTCCCATTCCTAGCCACTCGGAAGTTGATTATTTATAGTTGGAAAAGTTGTCGCCACTTTCTATTTATTAATATTAGTTTTATGCTATAATGCTGCTTAGAGTTATAGCTGTTGTTTAGTTTGTTTCATAATAATCTCGTACAGGAATTTTATTGATTAATTTGAAACTTCAATTTTTCAAAACAATTTTATTTCAAATTAATACAAACACTTTAATACATTTATTGAAGTCTTAATGAGTTAACTTGTGACCGAACCTAACCGTAGACTACTCATGATTTATCATGCTGATCACAGCAGAAACGATACTACGTCTTATTTTAAAATAATAGTCGGCATAAGTGAGCATAAAATTCAGGTGACTCAAACTCTATTAGTGTTTTTCATATGTTTAAAAAAGGAAAACATTTGTTTTTGTTTTTCATTCAAACAATCACAAGTTTTGATATCAGTAAAAACTATAATGTCTGTCTTTTTTGAAAATAATGCATTTAATGATGAAATACACGAGTTAAAAGTGAATTGAGTTTAGTAATTCCAGCGGAATCACATATTTTATTTATAGGCTATTTTTATCTAAAATAACTCCAATCACAGTTTTTGAGTAGATACTTTTTTGTATAGAAAATTTCACTTTCTAAATGTGGTTTCAAATTGTCGGGTTCACTAGTGGATTGCAAGTTAGGTTCAAAATAATCTGAATCCCAAAATTTATATTCATGAATCAGATGATCGAATGTACCTTCTCAACTTAACCCGCCTAAAGTAACTCTCGGTATATGTCTGTAAAATAGGTACAAAAGTTTAATTGCTGTCTCGAATAGATGCTTATGTACAAAGTGGTCCAAGGTTAATCTGCGAGACTTTAAGGGCATATTTTACAGCCAAAGGCATTAGGAAAATACCCTACTAACTCTTGCAAAGGCACTACCTCAACAAGTTTTTTTTTCAATTTTTAAATCGCAAAAAGTAAAAACATGAATGTCGGTATGCATATTAAGTCTCACAAGCTTAATAAACCTTTTAAGGGAACCTATTTACAAAAACTTGATACAGGAGACTCCGGTCTCTTAATAAAACTTTAATAAAACTAAGGCAACTTTAAGGAGTCTTCGAAAACTTTTTCTGAAATTATGTAGTTCTACTGTGCAAGAACAGCAAAAGCAAATGAAGAAGAATGAATTTTGAAGCAATGCCGCTTGGACCTCGCTCGTTCCAATCAGAATTTAGTCTTAATGGTTGGCTGAGGGTTCTGGCTCATAATTTTATTTGGCCGCCCTACATACCGCCAAAGCTTAATATTCTGACTTTTGCACTTTTGGACCATAGTGTAAATTATATTTTCAATTCGTTGTAAGTACAATCTTCCACGGAACTCGCAGATTAAAGTCGATTAAAAACGATTTGGGCTTGCACTTGTAATGGACATTTCAAATAAATTGATGACTGTTAGACGCATTTTTTTAAAATCATGTATTTCAGCATTCTGGAAGCAATGAAAGCGAAAAAATCAAAAGGTGATTCCTTGTTTTCAATATTATGTCGCAAGTCAAATTTTGTGGACAAATTCATCAAAGGGGGCTAATAACCACTGCAAATTATTGAACTAAAAAATGAGCTTAATTTGATTAACTGAACTTTTCAAAAATCGCATTAACTACTGAGGAGGAAGAACCGTACATTAGAAGTACACTGTTCATATATAAATAATATCTCTTATATAGTTTTCTACGAAAAAACTCATTATCTATAACTTCCTGTCTCTCGGGAATGAAAACAAATTAATACTCAAACTTTTTAGAAGTTTTCGTTTGCAATTGCTAATTCCCATTTACTATGTTTGACCTGTTAACGTTGTTCCGTAGCTTTGATTTGTTTTCCGAGTATTTGAAATAGGGGTGTGTGACCGGGCGTCCCAAATTGGGCCTACATGTAGAGGTCTCTTGAGAACTATAAAAGTTAGGAAATTGCTTAAATCGGAAAAGTTTTCGGAAATTTCATGGCATTTCGACTCCTTTATGAAAGTAATTGTAAATCTTATCAGTTATTAAGTTGTTGTACTGTTATAGGATTACTTCTCAAATAATACACGAATAATGACTCCTGTGGCCTATACTGAAACTATAATGAGACCTTCGCTATAGAAAGACTAACTACTAAAGCCTTATTAGAACAGTAAACATTCCCATCAAGTAAATAACGCGATTGAATCGATATTATTCGTGCCTGTATGCTATTCAAGTTACACTAACTGTCCCCAATCCCCTAAACGTTCCTAAATTATCATTATGCAACACTATTAATAAAACGTAATAAATTGAATACGAACCTTAATTATTGTTTGTTCCTTACAGGACTCACTACTATCTTATTAGAGAAAGTTGTGGTACAGTTAATAATCTGCTATTTTTCGCATACTTGATCGTAGTCTTGTTGTGTTTTCTATGTTGATCTTATATTCGGATACTACCTGAATAATTTTGGACTGTTACAAATGATCGTTATACAATGTGCAAATAAATGCAGCAAAATATTGGCTTCTTGTGATAGAACTATTAAATATAACGTCAAACTGTATTTTTCTAGATTCCCTAGACGGCCAATCAAGTTACAACAGTTTTTATGACAAAGAATCAGAAACGTATAAACATATGCTACAAATTAAATATTTTCGCATTGTATTTTAAAGCTCCGTAGTGCAATCGTAGTTGACCTCATTATATCAAACTTTATTTCTATTGATTCTGCTAGACAATTTCGGAACGGACGGGGCAAGAATAGTCTTAACTTCGTTGCTGGCTGCTGAAAAAAGTTGAAAAAGCGCCAACTTTTCAGCAAACAGATCTATGAATTATTTGCTGAAGCTGGAGCTGTATTACATTGGATATTCTGTGTGGCCTCTCAAGAAGCGTACTGTTTAAGTGCGTCATTTTGACTGATTCACGACTGACTGCAAATATGTTATTGGAATATATTAATGCAAATTAATTTTCTTTTCTAGGGTCCATAATGTTCCACGTACGGAGACGACCAGCAGATTGTGCGCCACGTAAACGAAAGAAAAAGCCTCTTAGTGGGGTCAGGGGAGACCAACGGGGCGATGTCCCTTTTCTTATGGAATTGGGGCCAGATGGACAGGCGCCGCACCCTGCTGATGCAAATAAGACAGTTCGATTGGTTAACGATGTAATGGAGGTAAGTCTTGCCTTAACTTTATACTTTTATGCATAATTAAGACTTTTTGAACATACCAACGTCATCAAATGCTACTTATTGATCTCAATCAAGAATACTCTGGACAAACGTGTGGCAAAGACACGGTAATTTATAAAAAATCCGAAGTTTTTTTACATTTTTTTTTTGTTTTTTTATGGTACATCAATTTCGTGTACAATGTGTCAAAGTCAATGCGGAAACCTTAAGAGGTGTCATCATTAGAGAGATATCGCGATGCGAACACGGAATAATAAAAATTATTTCGTAAAAGCGAAAAGCGAGTAAATTACCTAATAATAACTTTAAGTGATTATTTGAAAAGCGCAAAAATATGACACAATTATCCTTCGAACGCTGTGACACTGGCACAAAATTTACCATCCCTAGCTTTCCTAGCCTTTTCTTTCCTAAGAAAGAAAAGGGTCCATCTTTATAAAACTATATAAAATTAACACTCTCGAAATTATTTTTTTAGTCCAAATTGGATTTCTTTGCTTCTTCCGTTTTTAAAAACAAGTACATTCAGACTTTACTAAAGTTCATTTGTTCGAACTCGAGACAACATATTTTTGCACATCTTCTTCATCGGTCTTAAAGCCCTAGCGCCTTACACAGATATTTTGAATGATAAGTACAAATTAATGCTGCTGAATGAAGAACAGAAATAAGTCGAAACATGTACTTCTTGTAGTCAAATGTGGATAATATAAAAATGATTTCAATAAAACTGAAATGATAGTGGAATTCGGGAGTTTGAAAATACTTATTTACGCATTGTTTGTTTCTATTTCTGTATTTAAGTAACACATTTCAGAAATGTTTTTCCAATGTTATTTTAAATAATTTTTATTGGTTTTTTTATGATAATTTTGGACTCGTGAACGTGTTTTTTTGTAATCTTGATAATCCACAACTATACCCCAAAGCGTTTCAAAATTATTATGTACATGATACGTACTTTGTTTGGAAAATTAAACTTAATTTGAATAAATACTTATCTACCACCTATATTATTAATTAAGGATCCACAACATTATTTTTACAAAGTAAATATATTAAGGATACATCAAACTTAATTTGCCAAACTTTTTCCATTAAGGGACTTTTTATTTGCCGCCAGGCAGAGACGAACGAAAATTTATTAACGACCATACTCTGCGTAGTTGAGAAACTTTTTTTCGTTGTATTGCTACCAATTTATCACCAAACTTCGTCAATTGCAAAAAAATATTTTTAGGCACGTGTTCAACAATGTCGAAAAACCATTTTGCATTTTTCCTCGTAAGAATTGCATTATAATTCCTGCAATTGCATCAGTAGGGTTTCCAGTCAATTATTCATGCTCAACTGATTGTCTGTAGACAATATGCTTAATGTTATGCCTACATACAGCAGATAATTAGAGCATTGTTTTGGTTCTATTCAGAAATGTTCGATATATCATGTAAAGGCGATAACAATGAACGCATCTGAAAAGCCAAGACGTTTAAATTAAGTAGTGAAAATTGGCTTAATTATCTGTCTTTGATGCAATTATATATATGTATCTAGTGTATTTCTTACGTTCAAATGTTAATAATACAAATTTTAAAAGACGATATTTAAGCAGTCGTTGTATTCTGATCATTTCGCTAAGATAAATCAAGTAGATAATCATTTGAATAAAATTGATTTATTTTGGCAATTTTTAATACATTCTCAAAACTTATGTTGCTACCGGTTTGGCCTCCTCTCGAACGCGATACGAGTTTAAAGAGTTTGTGTTTGTGTGTTTACTCAATCTCAATCACTCTCAATTCAAACGCCTACTTTGCTTCAGAATCTTGCTGGGTAAGTCTGAAGACATTTTTGGTTTGAAAACAGATTTATTTCAATCTTATTGCGCCCCAAAATCGCTACGAACTAAAGCAAGCATAGGTGTACGTCATGGCATTTGTAAAAGTATTTCCATGTTTTCCCCTTGCAGTTGATAAGTGTAACCAGTCACGCTGTCTAAAATTTTGCGCATTTTTCCTGTTGTTCTTTTCAAATTAATATTGTCTACCAAAACTACTGCGTTTCGCTGGAAAAGAAAGTAAAAGTAAGGTAATTTGGTGTTACTAGCACTGGGACAACTAAAAAGAAGGATTAGCACTTTGACCGAGAAATATTTCATTATTTTTTATTAGCAAGGGCGTTTTTGGCACTAGCCAGATTAATTAAGAAACATTAAAACCGCTGCCGTAAATCTGGAAGAGGAGGACTCGTACGTGGGTTTAACTTTTAATATTCTGGTATTAGAGTGTTATTGCAATGTTTAATTACTATTAAGGGCAAACTGAAATGTTTGAATTATTCATGCAGAATTAGTTTGAAAACATTTACAATTATTGACAATGAGACCAGATTTTGGTTTCATATTGGAATATACCTAATGTAAATATTGCTCCACTCCAACTCGGTTGATATAAATCTATACTGTCGCCTTTTCCGACTTGAAATAGTATTAAAGCCACTATACTTAAAAACGCACCGGAAATTTTCGGTAGTCGAGAGTACTTACCGCTTGAGGTGACAAAATACAATGTATTCTCTAATATCAAATAATAAGTGACAATCGAAATAAAATGATACAAACCGATATCAAAAGTTGAAAATGGTAAATATTCTACATTTGATCTTACATTATCAAAAGGCACTGGGGAAGAACAGACAAGTTGGCGCACGAACTAATTTGGAAAAAATTAAATTAAAACGTAAAATGAATACAGGTCTGGTTTACAAGGTGATTGGCTTCATTTAAATTGCAATGCAAACTCCGAAATACGTAATATAAAGACGGAAATAATAATAAAAAACGTATGTAAAATATATGACCTGCTTTAACAAAAGTATGTACAATGTGCGTTTTAATTGAGTGAATCCCCCGAAATGTCCAACAAATTTGAATGAATCATTCAGACGTTTGTATAAATTATTTAAGTTTTATTAAGCATATTACAATTTTAAAATAAATTTTTGTTTTTCAAAAAAAAACATTTAATAAAGCACTAGATTGTTGACTAAGCGACCCTATTATCAGTTGTTCACAGTTGTGATTCACAGATGCTGTTATGCAGATGGATTTGTCAAAAACGTGGCATTTTGTTTGATAGTGCCACTTTATTCTCCCCACCATATAGCAAAGCTTAAAAAATGTGAATCATAAAATGAGTTTAATCTCACTGCTCTATTTAAGCAAAGAGGTTTTCTTTCTTATGAAATGCATGATAAATTTGCCAACGTTGCAGCCAATTAAATGGGCCTTAAGTGAACCGATTCATAAAGGGGACACTCAAACGTTGCTTTATAGTAAAGGGGTTCATTAAGCAGTCTGATTCCACTCTTCAAATTGCATCATTTCCACGTCTCTTTCTTGCTGGTTCGTAGTTCGCGGTAATAGAAGAATATACAGGGTTATTCACGCTATACGGCACGGACGTT